GCAACACGGCCCTGCAGGACCGGGCCAGGGGTGGCCACCACCCTGCAGGACCGTGCCAGGGATGGCCGCAGTGCATGCTGGGTACACCATTCTTACCATCAGTGGTCTAAAGACCTCTCTGGCCCACTGGCTGTTTTTGTAAATAAAGTTTTATTGGGACACGGCCCTGACCCTTCATGTAGGTACCGACAGTGGCTGCTTTCAAGACTTTACATGCCTCCTTCATGACCCTGTCCTCAAGTCAGGGACCAGACGCTGCAAAACTGAAGTATTTCCCGTCCGGCCTGGGCTCTTTAGAGTTTTATGCAACAGCGTTTCTCGAGTTCTTGGTGTCCACTCAGCATCACCGCCCCGGACAGCTCCCCTCCACTCTGCCCCGTCTGGGCTGATGGAGCCCTGACAATGGGCGCCCCCTCTGCTCAGAGAACATCCAAAGCTGCCGCGTGGCCTGGGGGCTCTGGGTGCCGCTTCGTGTCCCCGAAAGTCCCACCAGGCGCCCTGATGGCTGCTCTCACAGGGCCTCCCGCCTCAGGGCCTCCCTCTGCCTGGAGCCCTCTCCAGAGCCCCTCCCTTCCCGAGGAGCCCCCAGCACCCACACACACCGCCCTCCCCCCGCACCACTGTCCTCCGGTCCCCTCTCCGTCCCGATCACCGCGGACACGGAGCTACGCGCTCACTGGCTGCTGTCCCCGCCCGAGTGGATCTTCCCACCGGCCAGCTTCAGGGCCAGCTCTGCTCGTCTGGGGACAGTGGCCCGGAGCGGCTCACAGAGGCGCGGGGTGAGTGAGCAGGAGAGGGTCACTGTGAAGTGACACATGCCTGGGAGGTAACCCCTGAGCTCTCTCTCCTGGCGGGTTAAGCAAACAGGCTGCGTCTTAAGTGACTGTGTTTTCCAGTGGTATTTCCCCGCATTCCTATGGCACCTGCATGAATAAGGAGAGAGGACCTGCCTGTGCGGGTTTCCAGTAGGGCTGGCGCTCACAGGGTCGAGCAGGGCTGAGGGCTGGGAGCCTCGCGGCTGGCAGGAGGCGTTCAGAGGGAGCTACTGCCCTCTGCTGGGGGCAGGCGGCTGTGCACGCCTCGCTCGGCCCAGCGCACCTGACTCTAATTTATAAAATAGCTCCTCTTGCTTTTGTCTGACAAAGAAATATATGCGGCCCTCTGCATTTAGGGCACATGAAGTGTGCTTAGGAAAGAGAAACTTAAACGTTTGACTTTGCAATGACCGGAGTTTTCTGATTTGTTTGTAATATATACCTAAGGGTTTCTCATTTATGACTCGGAGGGTGTGTGGGGTCAGGCACTACAACACGTTTTGTCATGAGGCAGTAACGGGAATGAGTGAAAAGCCGGGCCCGAGGCCAGTCCTTTCCGTGCCGACCGCTGCACAGGGAGCACGTTACACGGATCTGCTAGGTGTCGGCCCTCCCGGTGGGGGCCCCTCACAGCAGGGCTGCCCGTGCGTGGCGTGTCTCCGGCTCTTGGCACTGTGCCTGGCACTCACCGGGGCACAGATGCCAGGGAGGAGTGGGGGCCACGAGGGCCAGGACGGAAGCCGACCCGCCTGGGGGACGCCGAGGGCACCGGATGCTGGGACATGAGACGGAGACGTCAGACACCAGGACGTCCGGCTGGAGCAGGCCTTTGCCACACCCACCTCCTCCCACAGCGGGCACTGGGCCCAACCGGTCTGCAGGCCTAAAGGGGACGGGCCGAGGCTCAGCCCTGTGCTGTCTTCCGCCGGCGCCCTGGAAGCTCAGCAGCTCAGCCACACTGAGAAGCAGGAGTGAGACCAGAGGCCACGAGCCACATGCTGAACCCAGAACACGAGTCGCTCACAGGAAACACATTCTGGGGGAAATACACCCGACACAGAAGTTCCTCTCCTCACCACTGCCCAGTGCCCAGGGCAGGCCATCAGGCACTCACACTGTCGTGCAGCCGTCCACCGTCATCTCCAGAACTTTCCACCTTCCCACTGACACTCGTCCCCATTAACGTACTCCCTCCCTTGCCGGCCCCGGGACCCGCTCTGCTTTCTGTCCTACACACTTGTCTCTAGGCCCTCCTGTAGGTGCGTCACAGACTCTGTCCTCTGGCGTCCGGCCCGTCTCACTGAGCGCAATGTCCTCAGGTTCATCCATGTCTTAGGACAGTGATGGCGAACCTATGACACGTGTCAGAGGTGACACGCGAACTCATTTTTTTGGTTGATTTTTCTTTGTTAAATGGCATTTAAATATATAAAATAAATATCAAAAATATAAGTCTTTGTTTTACTATGGTTGCAAATATCAAAAAATTTCTATATGTGACACGGCACCAGAGTTAAGTTAGGGTTTTTCAAAATGCTGACACGCCGAGCTCAAAAGGTTCGCCATCACTGTCTTAGGAGAACACATTCTATATGATAAAGAGCTAAAATGCTAATTAGGCCGAACAGCAGAACAACCTTTTGGACGACCTTCCGGAGGAAGCCAGGGCTGCGTGGGCCGAGCCCCTTGCACGAATTTCCTGCACTGGGCCTCTAGTTCTCACATAACGTCCCAGCGATTCAGATGAGAAGCAGCTTCCTGCCAGCTAACTATCCCCTGTCCATACTGACCCTGCTTTCCATCGTCCTCGTCATCACCGTCACCGTCACCATCACAGCTTCCCCGGAGCCCCACCAGCAGGGCTCAGGAGGTCCAGGAGAGAACTCCAGAGCCCGCCCTGCAGCACGCCCCGGGCCTCCCTCCCGCAGGCCTCCGGGACCTGTCTCAGCAGCCCGGCCGCCCTCGCCCAGGGGAGCTTACACGCCCCTCCTCAGACACTTCCCTGCGGCCTTGAAGTCTCACTGGCTGCCGGAGTGCATGGAGGACACCGGTTTCACCCTGGGATCTTCCTTATCTGGCAACTGCCTCGTGGAGGTTTTGGACGTGGTTTCCTTGTTAAGTCTCTTCTCTCGTGTTTCCGAGGATGCAGAAACCCAGGAAGTAAAATCAAACTTTGTTGCCAACGGACATCTACGCAGATGTCAGCGCAGCAGATTCCTGCAGCATGAGCTCCTCACCTGCACACCGTCAACAGCTCATTTCAGGGCTGCACCCGCATTCCTCGCCCAGGGCGGCCTCCGGCTCCGCGTAGATGAGTGTCCCCCACTGAGCATGCGGAGCCCAGCTGCGCTCTCGGGGAGCACGCGTGCTCAGGGCTTCCCCAGGGTGGGCCCACTCCCCGACGGCCCGGCGGGCACGTGTGGGCTGAGGACTGACCACGTCCACACCACCGCGAACAGCCAGAAACTCTTCACTTCACGCCACCTGGGACCTGGCGAAACCTGACCTCTGATCCCACATTTCTTAAAAAGCCACGTTCGGGGTGCGTGCTTCACTGACGAGTGGCTAGGAGACTCACTCAGTCTACCCGCAGTCTGCTGCCTGGATGGGCCGTGTCACAGAACGTAATGAGTTAACAGAGCGGCCAGTCCTTGACCAGGTCCTGGCTTTCCCACAGAGCGACGCGAGTGAGAATGAGTGCTTTCTGCTGGGGACCCTCTCGCTTTGCTGGCGATCGCCGGGCAAAGCTGTCCCAGGCTGGCTCCTCACACGGCTGCTTAGCCCGGACAGAGGCGCCTGACGCCTCATGTGACCAAGCCATCTTCCCTCAGCCCCAGCGCGTCCCGGCCGAGCGGCCAGGGCCCACAGACTTTTACAGGAAAAGTCAGTCTAGTGCAGTGGTTCTCAACCTTGGCTGCACCTTCGAATCACCTGGGAATCTTTAAAATCCTGATTTCTGGGCCTCATCCGCCGGAAATTCTGTTTCTTTGTTATGGGGTGGGGCCACAACATTAATAACAAAGAAACAGAATTTCTGGAGGATGAGGCCCAGAAATCAGGATTTTAAAACGATTCCCAGGTGACTCTAATGTGCAGCCAAGGTTGAGAACCGCTGGCCTGGTGCTTCCTCAGAGACTTCCCAGCGAGTCCAGCTGTTCTTCCACCGCCAGCGAGGCGGTGCTGAGGCCACGACAGCAGGGCGCCTCTGCCGGTGCCCCGCTGCATCGACACCTCTGATGCCGATGGTGCGACAGCAAGAGGGAAACTTCTGGACGCTGCCAGCGCCTGCACCCGGGGCCTGTGGGCGGGGCTTTGAGAACTGCAGCTATAACTGTCTTTGCATCGATACGTTAAAAAAATTCATGGTTCAAAGACCATTCTTGTATGAACAGCCTTTTTAAAAAAAATGACAATTTAGATTGTAAAGGAACGTGATTAATGGCTTCAAAGACAGTCCTCACTACAGCAACGTGTAGAATCACTTCTGATTCTAGATTGTTCCCCCCACACACGGGTCAGCAAAGTACAGCCCACAGGCCGCATCCGGCCCACTGCCTGTGCCTGCAAATCAAGTTTTACGAAACCGTCAGCCCACTCGTTCCTGCCCCTGCAGAGCTGAGAGGACAGGGAACAGCGCACAAAGCCAGATGGTGACTAGCTTGCTTTTTACGGGAAAAGTCGGCCAGCCCTGTTCTGAGAGAAAACACGAGGGTTAGAAGGACAGGGCTTTCACCAACGTCTGGGTGAACATGATGCGAAGGCAGCGTCTTCACTGTTTTCCCGACAGCCCATCAAGGGTAAACACTTAGGAAACAGCGCGTTTGCCCGGCGCCGCGCCCCGCCCGCGGGCCTTACCAGAAGGTCTGCTTGGCCGTCTGGATGATGTTGGCCGACATCTCCACGTCGATGTAGTCGTAGTGCAGGGCACCGGGGTCTGTGGAGGACCCCGTCTCCGCCAGCAGGACTCCGATCCACTGGCCCATGTCTTCCGAGGACGCCGCCTGTGCGTGAGGGGAGGCGCGTGTCACTTGATTAGGGAAGAGTTTCAACAGGTTCAAGGTGTCGGCACAGAGACCACACAGAGGGGACGGCGGGGACCTGAGGCTCGTGCGAGTGAGTCGTGGAGGAAGGAGAGGGCTGCCGAGCCGCGGGACCCGCTCTGCGTTCAGCCCGAGCCTTGACGCTGGAATGACTGGACCCAGGACGTGGAAACCTGGGTCCTGCAATGCCGGCCGCTCTGGGGGAAGGGCACCGGGGTAGGACGTGGGACCTGCTGTGCTAGCTAAGGCTCAGCCAAATGAAGTTGCTGACAACGCCTCGCTAATTTGACAACAAAACCCGGCCCGGAAAAGCGCCGCCGCCTGCGCTGGCCCAGCCGGAGGACGGTGCTGGCGCTCCTGTGGGCCTCGGGCTCCCGTGGCCGGGAATGCACTTCCTTCCCTTCAGTGGCGGCATGAGCACGTGCTCCCCTCCTGTCAGCTGTGCTGAGGGGGTGCAAACGTGGGCTGTCACTGGGCTGTGGGCGCCGTTTCTCAGGACGTTTACATGCTCCCAACCCTGAATCTGACCTTCATTTGCAATCTGACTACAGCTCAGCCGATGCCCTAACCACTGAGCCCGGCCAGGGCCAAAGGGGAGGGTGGAAGCAGGCGGCTGAGGCTGTTTAAGGGCCTTTCCCTCTCCAGCGAGCCGGCTCCAGAAAGGCAGCCACAGGAATCAGCCACGCACGGAGCCAGGGCTCCTGGAAACCCAGGTCTCGGTGTCCACGCACGCGGCTCACAGGCCACGGTCTGCACACTCACTCCACCGGGAGCCACATGGGCCCCGCAGGACGAGGGAGGACAGCGCCCTCTGGAGGCCGTCACTGTGAGAGAAGTCCTGCTGGGAACACTGAAGCAAGGCGTGGGGGGGAGGCGACCAGGAGGTGCCAGGGCCCAGGCTCCTTGCAGGGCTCAGCAGAAGCGGGCGCAGGGCGCGGCCCAGGGCCCTCAGGAGGGGCCACCGCGGGGACAGCAGAGACGGACACATGGGCAGAGGGAGAGGGAGAAAGGGCGTGGCACAGCAGGCGCTGCCAGCTCAGCAAGGCGGGGACTCGGATGGGCAGCGGCTTCGGGAAGGAAGGTCGTCCTACCTCCAGCACGGCCACCTCCTGCCCGTTGCGGAGCAGCCGGAAGGTCAGCGGGTGCCTGGAGTCCAGCCCGGGGATCACCTCGCAGCCACGGAGAGGGATGGACACGAGGTGGGTCTTCAGGTCGGTCCTGTCCTTGTGCAGGATGAGCTTGTTGTCCTTGACCCTGCACCAGCGCTCCCGCCAGCGGTTGTTGGAGAGCACGTTCAGGTGGCCTGCGGCGACAGGGCGGCTCAGCTCCGGGAGAGACACCAGGGCAGAACGCCCACGGAACGGACCCCCACCACGTCTCAGGCAAATTCACACACACAGCAGGGCCGTCACGGGTGACAGCTGGAGAGCTGTGATTTTGAATTTGTACATGACATATGTCTGATACATTTATTCTTTATAAGGAAGAAAGCTCTACAGACAGTTCTCGGGTTACATGGGACTCGACGTATGTCGTTTCGTGGTTATGTCACCATCTCCCATTTATTTATAAAAAAAATAAAGTTCCGGCCCTAACCAGTTTGGCTCAGTGGATAGAGCGTCGGCCTTCGGACTCAAGGGTTCCAGGTTCGATTCCGGTCAAGGGCATGTACCTTGGTTGCCGGCACATACCCAGTAGGGAGTGCACAGGAGGCAGCTGATCGATGTTTCTCTCTCATCGATGTTTCTAACTCTCTATCCCTCTCCCTTCCTCTCTGGAAGAAATCAATAAAATATATTAAAAAAAAAGTTCCGTCATTTCGACGTATGTACATATGTGCTTTATGCTTTTTATTATTTATTTACCACAAGTAAAGGTCAGGAATTGTTATCTTTCTTTTAAATTTTGTTTACCATTTCCCTTCATTACTGTGTATGTGCTCCATGTGAGTGACGCAGGAGCTTATGTAGGTGGGTTCCGACTTACGGCGAAAATCGCGTTACGTCGTAGGAACGGACCTCCCACGTAACCCGAGGACCTACTGTACTAAAGCCCACAGTCAGCCGTGAGGGCTGATCGGCTGAGCAACGGCGTGAGGACCACGAATGCCTGCCTGTGGCTTCGGCCCCATCTGCACATGAGCCCTGCTGAGAGCCCACTTTTTGGACACTTGAGAAGTGACCGCCAACTGCAGCCATCGTGAGAGTCTGCGGGCATGAATGACAGTGGCCTGGGACCAAGGTGGCGATACGTAAGGAGATCTGGAGACACGGCTGCTCTCGAGCACCCGAAGCTGCTGGGGCACAGGGTGGCCCCTCCTGAGAGTCCTGGGCCAGCGCCCTGCCCTGGAGGGAGAGGCTCAGGGCCGTTCCTCAGGGGCCTTGAGGCGGGAAGCTTCTCCAGCCGGGGAGGCCGGGGTCTGGCCGGGAGGGAGCGTGAGAAATGAACACTTGAACCACCCAGGGACCCAGTGATAGCCAACCTGGGACTCTGTCCTGGGAACCTGGCCCTGACGCAGGTGGCAGAGCTCTGATAGGGAAGTGGGAGGGCAGGGCTGTCTCAGTTGCTGCCGCACACACGTTAACACAGTCCTGCCCACGGCAGCTGCTCAGAAAATGCGGATGAAACACTGATGCGGAGACGGTCGCTCAGTGAGACCGGGGTGACCCTGGTCTGGGACATGGAGCCTCATGAGAAACCCTGGCTTGATTACTTTAGCTGAGAGGAATGGCTGACCACAGTGCCTTCATGTCTGGCCATGTTCACACCCGTCCCTCACAGGCCGACAGCCCTGCATGCTTTCAGTTTAAACGCTTAGAGGAAGTCGGGAGACCTTCCGGGGGTCAAACGTGAAGAGCCACAGAGCTCACGTCAAACCCCTGCAGTCTCTTACTAACAAGCAGTGCAAGTGTGAAACATCTCCCCCCGCACACAATCCCCAGCCTCACTCCCAAGAGCCTGCGTGACGAGACCGAGGGGCCGCGACTCGGGGACGACACGCGCGGCTCCTGCAGCTCATGGGGCTCGGGGCTGTCTTACCGCAGGTGGGCACGTCCTCCTCGGCGGAGGAGGTCTGCTCGTCGGTCGACGGCTTTTTCTTTCCTAAACCGATGATCTTGGTGATTTTCTTCCCAGTGACTTTAGATACAGTCCCCTTGCCCTCTGATTTGGAACTTTTTTTCCTCTTGACTGTCAAAAATAACGACAACACAAAAGCATGTTAAGTTATAGACCTTACACTGAAAGACAGTGAAACAGCATACGCCACAGCCATTGACTCGCCCCCGGTCTTACTCATGGAGCACCCGCCGTAGGCCGCCGTTGGGGCCTGGCTTACACCAGCGGAGTGCTGGCTCAGTGAGGCACCAGTGAGCCACACCGATGAACTCCTCCCGTGTGCCCTGCTCGCTGGGACACGCGAAGCTGCCACGGGACTGCTGTCAAGACCTCAGCGCCCCGTGCTCGATCGGCAGCGGCACCAGCAGGGTAGTCACGAATCACCCAGAATCGCGGTGCACTGGCGCGTTACGTGGGGCATATCCTTCCCCTTGAACGCAGGAGCAGGAGCGACAGAGTCCCCCCGTGGCTGGACGGCAGGGGCTGGCCCGCTGCCATGCGATCGAGGGGTAACGGAGAGGAGCTGTCGGCGTCGCGGCTTCCTCGGCAGCCAGCATCTGTCTGGTCACGAAGGGCTGGACGAAGGGACCTGCCTGAACCTCAGCGCACACAGTCCAGAGTGAGCGGCCGAGCGGAAGGGAGGAGAGAAGGTCAAGTGCAGCTTAACCATTAACTTCCTGCAGGACCTACTCACTGAGTGTCTGCAATATACAAAGCATCACGACAGGCAAAACAGTGTTTAAACCAACGGCACCTTTTCAAAATATGGAAGGCTGCTCTGCTTTAAAGAGCCCAGGGGAATGCTGGGTAGGGATACATTCACTCCCACGCACAGCGAGACGCACTCGCTCCGCAGAGGCTACTGTGGGGGATCTGGGAGAAGAAGCCGCGGCGTGGGCTGCCTGGGCATCCAGGCGGGAACCTGAGATTGTACGTTGGTCTCCTCCAGGGCAAACCTCAAAGATAGGTTTCCCGGCTGTGATTACACATAATGTGGCCTGTGGACGACAGAACGCCTCCCACCGAGTAACTTCCGACGCAGAGGACGAAAATTACACCCAGTCGCGTCTGGCAGAAAATCACACGGCAGAGCAGAGGCCATGCCTCCGACTGACCCTGGTCATATCACCACAGCCCAGAAGACTGGGTTCCGAGACCCAGCGGCCGGCTGGCTGTCGGGTTGCAGGTGACGGCATCTGCCTCTAGCGGCAGGTGCAGGGGGGCAGTGGGCAGAGGCTCCCCTGGGAGCCAGGTCCCGGGGCAGGCAGAGGCTGCAGGCTTCCACGGGGAAGACTCCCTGCCCCACAGACCCCCTCCTCTCAGCCCAGCCCCCACGCTGGGAAGGACATCACGTAGCGGAAAGGGCTTGTCTTCAGAAGCTCTAAGGAGCTCTCAGACCTCAGCCACAAGAACAAACAATTCAATGAAAATACGGGCAGAGGATGTGAATAGAGTTTTCACCAAAGAGGACGCCTGGATGGCAAACAAGCTCGTTAGACTTGGTCAGCGTTGTTGGTCATGGCAGAGGCACGGTAAAGCCGGCTGCACAGCACTACACAGCTATTCAAATGGCCAATGCAGAGACCAGCATGACAGAGAGCCACCAAGGCTGGTGAGCGGCACGTGGCCAAGCACCCTGCTCCCAGGTGTTAACCGGGAGAAAGGAAAACGTGTCCACAGCAGCTTCGCTCCCATGGCGCCGAGCTGCCAGCAACCAGCCCTCTCCCGTGGGTGCGAGTCAGCCGGCCGTGCCGCGTCTGCGCTGACCTCCTGCTCGGACCCTGAGCACCTGCACGCGGGGCTCCCCAATGCCTGAGGCTGAGTCAGAGAAGCCAGACCGAAAGGACAGAGGAGCACAGGGACACCTGGGGTCAAAACTGTTCCATGTCTTGACTGTGCGGATGGTGACCCACCAGTTAGTGTTTGTCAAAACGCAAAGAACTGTATGCCCACAAGGTGCCGTTACCGCGTGTGACGCTCACGCCACAGGGCCGGCTTCAGCACGTGCACCCCGGTTCACACAGCATCATCCGCAGCAGCCAAGGGTGGGAACACCCTGAATGCCCCTCCACAGAGGAATGAGGGCAGAATGTGGTCCGTAGCACAACGGACTATTGCTCAGCCTCAGAGAGGAAGGGGATCCTGACACCGGCTACCTGGGCGGACCTGAGGGCATCGCGGTGAGCGAGGCGAGCCAGCCACACAGGGCAAGCTCTGTGGTTCCATGATGCGAGGTCCCTAAGGAGTCAGACCCACAGGGGCAGCGGGCGCCCCAGGCACCGTGGGAGTGGCTGCAGGCCTGGAGAACGGGGAGGGCGGGAGAGTTTAATGGGGACAGTTGCAGTTTGGGAAGATGGAAGGTTCTGGAGAGGATGGTGAGCCGGCGGCACAGCAATGCGAATGTGCCTAAGCCACTGGACTGGGCACTTAACAATGGTCAGGGGGTAAATTTTTGTTATGTATATTTTACCACAATTTAAAATCATTTCTTTAAATGCAAGTAAAATACATCTGCAGAAATTTTTTTTAAAAGGGACTTCAGAAACCTGCACGTCTGGTCCCCTCATTTGAAAGATGGGGAGCGGAACTCATCAGGGAAACGGTCCCAATGGGGCTGAGGCCGCCGTGGGGTGGGCACGTGGCTCCACTCATCACCCAAAGCCCTTCCCGGAGGATCACTTCCCGGGACAAACCACGTGAGGAAATGCCTGCTGAGCCACCGATTTAAACTCCCGCCGGGCACCGTCGGGCCACAGGAACCCTGGCCCGGCCGCAGGCAGCGGAGCCTCGGAGGGCTCCTGCTCCCCGAGGGCCTTCTTGGATCGGTCAGTGCGACCAGGATGGTGACAGGCCCATGACTGAACCTCCAAGGAGATGTGCCCGCAGCCAGAGTTCGCAGAACGGGCCGCAGTGTTTCGGATTCTGGTTTCTGTTTCGGGCAGAACTCACCTTGTTCTTTCCCGTTACACACGGCGACTCCATTCTCCATGACACCCTCCCCGTCTGAGCTTGGTCTCTCCAAGGACAGTTTCTGCAAGGAAGAGGAGGACGGGGTTATTCTCACAATGTCGCATTGGCCAAGTGACGTCATGGATCGATCCAAAGTGATCTCAGAGCGGAAAGAACGTGGGCCAGATTCCCAGCGATCCAGGAGAGCTAGGGCTCAACGGCCGCACGGACCAGCTGGGTGCCTGTTATCAAAAGCTTGACAGACACCAAAAGAGCAAAGAAAAAAGCCACCGAGGTAACCAGCACGTGCTACAGTGCCTGACATTCATTCACCTCCCTCTCTCTCAGTAATTAAAAAACGTTAGGGCTACAGAAAACTCCCCTCACCAAACCAATTACGCTTCCAGAAATAAACACTGCGGCGCCCACTTAATTTCCTCTCGTGAATAATGGGCAAGTGTCAAGTGTCTGTTTGTGACAAATATGCTCAGAGGATGCAGTCAGGCGGCTGTCAAACCCTCAAGGGCACCGGAGGACTTGCCCGGTGGGTCCAGCACCTGACGTCAGGGCACAGTCAGGACTGTCACTTGGCATCTGAAGCAGAGGCATGTGGGGGCGGCCGGAGAGGGTCAGGGGACATGGTGACGGAAGGAGACGGGGCTCCGGGTGGTGAGCACACAATAAAACATGCAGATGATGCATATAGAGTTACACGCCTGGAACCTATATGATTGTATTAACCAATGTCACCCCAATAAATTCAATAGAAATTTAAAAAGCAGCAGCACTGTTGAGAGCTGGAACCCCTGCATTCCAACCGGAGGAGCTGTGGAGTCACAGCGGGGGAGGCTTCAGCCCTCCCCGATCCCCTGCACTGTCCCCCATGCCACAGAGACTGCCAGCCGCAGGCGGATGCCGGGGCACGGCACGCGCACGCCACCTCAGGAAAAAACTGCATCGCGCCGCGGTGCTGCGACAGCCACCGAAGGAGCCAGTGGCATCCCGTGGGAACCTGGTGTGTGCCGACCGCCAGTGACAGGGCGGATGAGAGCTGGCGCTGCCCAGCTCCCAGGCCGGGAAGTGCTCCTGGGAACCAGGTCAGCAGGTCTGGGCGGGCACAGCACAGCCTCAGAAACCACGCTAAGTGAAGGGTGCCACTGGTCCCGTGGGAGTGGGTGAGAGAGAAACCCTGATGCACGCTGATGGGAAATGAAACCGGACCAGCCTTTCTGGATGGCTATTCGCTTAGCAACACGAGTCAAATCTTAAAATCAATCCTCCCCTTTGGTCTGGTAACCTAGCTTCTAGGGGTCTATTTTCAGGTAACAGAGCAGCAGCAAAGACTTACAAAACGATGCCAGTTATTTTAAATGGCCAACAATAAGGAGTTAAATTTGAAAGGGGGGGGGGTAATATGATAGTAGAGTCATATGATTTCATATTATTCAGCTGCTAAAAGTGCAAAAACGGTTGTTGCTTGTTATTAGTTTTCAAAAGCCTGGAAAATTGGTAATAACATAAAGGTAAGGAAAAAAAGGGCAGCATACCATGTTTATGCATCAGAATATCTAAACTATAAAAGAAACACGTGAGCAGGTAAAGCTGGTTAAAAAAATGCCATGTTGGGAGGAGCTGCATCCCCTGTGTGGTGGGTTCATGGGTGACCGTATCCCTGCTATTTGTGTTTCTCTGAACTGCTCTAGTTTTCCATAGCAAGCAGGATGAGGGCTGTGATAGGGTTAATTTTATGTGTCAACTTGGAGGGTGTTTTTGGATGAGACTAATTTGTTGTTTTTGTTAATCCTCACCCCAGAATATTTTTTTCCATTGATTTTAAAGCAAGTGGAAGGGAGGGAGGGAGAGGGAGAGAAATAGAGAAACATCAATACGAGAGACACACATCCATCGGTTGCCCTCTGGATGCACCCCAATAGGGCCAGGGACTAAATCTGCCACTCAGGTATGTGCCCTTGACTGGGACTCAAATCCGTGACCCATCAGTATGCAGACCAACACTAACCACTTAGCTTACCAGCCAGGGCTAACATTTAAATCCGTGAACGCTGAGTAACGCAGATGGTGCTCCCTACCGTGGGGGCCTCACCTCGTTGGCTGAAGGCCTGCATACCACTAAAAGGCCAGTCTCCTGAGCAAGGGAGAATTCTGCCAATGGCCTTTAGACTTCACCTGCTGGCCTACGCTGCAGACTTTGAACTTGCCATCCTCCATAATCACATGAGCCAATTCCTTACGATAAATCTTACAAATAAAAAATTCCTTATGTGCCGGAACCGGTTTGGCTCGGTGGATAGAGCATCGGCCTGCGGACTGAAAGGTCCCAGGTTCGATTCCGGTCAAGGGCATATACCTGGGTTGCGGGCACATCCCCAGTAGGAGATGTGCAGGAGGCAGCTGATCGATGTTTCTCTCTCATCGATGTTTCTCACTCTCTATCCCTCTCCCTTCCTCTCTGTAAAAAATCAATAAAATATATTAAAAAAAAAATTCCTTATGTAAATCATATATAAATACACACACATGCACATATACATACGTACATACATGTACATGCACACACACACCACTAGTTGTTTCTCTGGAGAACCCTGACTAAGTAAGAAGGGACACGAAGGCTCTGTTCACGCAGGGGCCACACAGGGAGGCCTCGGAGAGTCCCTGGGCCACAGCCACCTACAGGAGCTGCGTGCAGGAAGCCCGGGGTCTCCATGGAGAGGAGATCTGTGTAGGGACAATCAGAGCGAGCTGGGTGTGTGGCATGACAGTGACAGGTTCACACATTTCTGACAAGAAGGGCTGGCCCTGCCCCCCTGCGGGGCCGTCACTGGGCCCTTCTACAAGGAACATGGGCACAGAGCGGAGGGCACAGGGAGTGCAGCCTGGCCTACTGGGTTACAGCTTGGGGAGGGGCACTCGGGCAGTGCCTGCTGTATTCCGGGATACAGACCTGAGTTCAGATTCCACGCTGCCACGTGACAGCCGGGTGACCTTGAACAGGGCCCTAACAGCTTCCACCCACTTCTTCACCTGTACTTGGGAAGAAGATGGCCAACTGCGCAGCCTGTAAACAAACGGCCAGCTCCAGCCTCGCGCGTGGGCACTGGAAACGCACAGGAAGTAGGACTGCGGTCCCTCCTCTTTCCCAGCTGGAGTGCAGAAACGCGCAGGGGTGGACTGGGCCTGTGAGGAGGCCAACCCTCCGAAGCAGCACACGCCCCTTACCTTCTCCAGCTCTGCCTTGTGCACCGGGGAGCCTGGCGGCGGGGGACACTCGGCGTCCACGGGCCCACTGCAGCCGCTGTAGACCTCTCGGATCACCTGCAAAGAGCGCGGACATGTTGAGTGCATCCAAGCACAGAGACACTCCCACGAGGGGAGGAAGCCTGAGAGGAACAGAGGCACGTAGTGTGGCCGGAAACCTGCAGGTCACAGCACCTGTTTCAGCTCCAGGCCGCCAGGCTGCCCTCTGTTCATTCAGTCGCCCATTCACTGACGGTCTACCCACCCCGGTGCTGACCTAGGTCCTGGTTACAAGGGAACACGTACGCGAGGGTTCCGCCCTCATGGGGCTTCCGCTCCAGGAAGAGTGAGGTGCCATCGTGAACAACGAGCGTCACCAGAAAACGCAGGCGATGAGACAGCGGTGGGGGCGGCGAAGAGCAGAGTGGCCTTTAGCCGCCGGCGCGGCTGACTCAGAGCAAGAGGCCGAGAGAGGCCTTGCTGGAAGGACACTAAGCTGCGTCCCCAGCCCCCCTGCAGTCGCAGGGTCCCCTCCATGGGCCTGAGCAGCTCCGGGGCGGGGTGGGGCTCTGACGGCTGGGGGTGAGCAGTAAATGAGATCAGTCCTGGGGAGACAGAGCGCACATTCTTCCCACAGAAAAGTGAGCAGGCGAGTCTTTCAAAATGTCCCCGTTCCTTTTGGAACTAAGCTGCAACTTGAGTTCAACCCAAGTGCCTCTGGACGGAAAAGCAACGCCCACGTCCGGAGAGCCGTGCAGCCCTCAGGGCGTCTCCGCACCACCGGCTGCGCTGCTGGGACCGCGGCCAGGGACGCACAGGCCAGGACAGTTTCCAGCCATTTTGCTGCTCAGCTGTTCTATGAAAAAAAAAAGAAGAAAAAACACTACAAAAAAAGGAGCAATGTCCACATTTGAGACCAAACCAGGAAAAAGAGAAAGCAAAGGCCCCGAGAGCCTGCGCGGGGGTTTGTCCTGTGGAAGCTGCGAGCGACGTACTGTCACCCAGCACGTCACCCAGCGCGGCGCCTGCCATGTGCCTCGAAGGGGAAACGGGCGGCTCCCTTTCTCTTTCTCTTTCTCGCTGATTTCACTGCTTTTCCTAGGTCTTGGTTTCCTCACCTCCCCAATGCGCTCACCAAACCTTTAGTTCAGAAGGCAAAGCTTCATGCGATCTAAAAACAAGATGTTGTCTTTTCTCCAGGGCAGCGCTTTTCAAACTTTTTCGTCTCGTGGCGCACATAGAGGAATTACTAAAATTCTGCAGACACCGAACGGCAGACTATATTTTTTGCCCATCTGACAAAAAAAATAGGTGTAATTCTGATTCATTCACCCTGGGCAGCTATCGCCCTGTTGGCTGCTGTGCTTTTATGACGATCGAGGGGAAAGGCGGGTTCTGACTGAGTGGTCCGCATGGCCCCGAGGGTAACGGCTGCTCTGGGGAAAGAGTAGCTTACAACGGGGACTCCTGGGCGCTTGTCACAGACACGGGGGTTCAGCCCCAAATCTGCCACTTCCTCCATACGTGCGGCTGAGCAATCTGGACTTTGGGCCTAACCTCCTCCTCCAGGAGGCACACAGACCCCTGGGGCTCTGTGACAAGATAAAGCGCCGCAGGGCCGGGCGCCCCGGAACCTGAGCTCTCCCGGTCACAGCATTAGTGACCGTGTGCAGTTAGACAAGCCAACGGGAAGGGCACCCGTTGTCCTGCAGGAGAAGGCTGACCCAGAGCCTGCCACAGAGGCCGGTGTGGCAGAGCCGCCACGCACGCGGCAAGCAGCTGCCTCCCTCTGCCTGTGTCAGGGAAGGCCCA